TCTCAGACCCGGGGCGCCGCAGTTAGGCGGGGCGCCGGGCAAAAATCCCGATTCCTGGCCTCCGCGCCCCAGGCCGATCTTCCGGAATCTGCATTCTTAACCCGCCGCTCGGGAGCCGCGGCCCGCCGGGCGTCGGGAGACAGCCTGGCCCCAATTTAAATTTTAAATTCCTCTCTGCAGCCAAGGTTGAAAACCACGGTTGGAGGTCGTGCTCATCAGCCTTGGCTGCCCATCAGAATAACCTGGGGACACCTGGGGGGAGAGGGAAAGAAAACCACCCAAACCAAAATCCCAGCGCCCGGGCCCGGGTCCAGACCCCTTAGGTCAGAACCCCAACGCGTGCTCGGCGCTGCAACCGCCGCCACGGGATCACCTGGGAGCTCGTTAGAAATACAGAAGCTCAGGCCCCACCCCAGACCCACCGAGTCAGAATCTGCATTTTAACGAGATCCCCAGTGATTCCTGAGCACATTCAAGTTGGAGGAGAGCTGTGCTTCTGAAATTTTAATGGGCAAACGAATCACCTGGGGATCTCGTTAAAATGCAGACACGGTTCCTCCAACTTTAATGTGCACGCGGATCACCTGGGAGCTTGTTAAAATGCAGATTCTGACTCGGCGGGGCTGGGTGGAGCCCGAGAGTCTGCATTCGGGGCCGGGTGCTGCGGGCCGTGGGGCGCGGACCTCGCTTCCACGCGACCTCTGAGGTCTTGGCTCGCGGCCAATCAGCCGTCAGCGCTGCTGATAAATCGCCCGGCGCGGCCGGGGCGCAGAACTGCCGGGACATGCGCGCTCGGGCCGAGCGGGGGTAATCGCGCAACTCCGGGAACTGCTGTGCACAGGCCACTCGGAGGGGCGCCCCGGGAGCCCGGGTCCTCGCGGCATGTCGCGGCGCAAGCAGGCCAGGCCCCAGCACCTCAACTCCGAGGCGCTGCTGCTGCCTGAGCGCCAGGAGTTGGCCGAGGCGGCCGGCGCGGCGGCGGGGCAGCCGGGTGAGTAGCGCCGGGGATTCCCCCCCCCCCCCCCGAACCCCGGGCTGGAGGAGGCGGATTCTCGGCGCGGGGTGGGCCGGCTGAGGCCCGGCCCCGGAGCGGATAAGTGCGCGTCTCGGGGGTCGAGGGTGGGGCCTTTGTGAATTGCACCCCCTTATTTCTAAGAAATTGACACCTCCTGGAGTGAATGTCGTGCCTCCCCGCGTGCCTCCTCCACTACCCCCGGCCCGGTAAGCCACGGTCCGCCTCCCGAATCCGCGGGAAGGATGCCCAGGCACCTCCTGACTTCGGGGTGCGCGGGCATCTGGGCCGTCACCTCTCTGGGGCCGCGCCCCTGCAAGGTGGGCGTTCTGAGACCCACGCCGGGCGCCGGGGCTGGGGCTGGGGTCGGGGGTGCGGTAGCTGAAAACGGAGGTCTGCTGGTGCCAGACCCCGGCTAGCCTTTTGGGGGGCAGGCAGCAGTGAGGGACGACAAAACTCCGGCCCTCCTGGATTACGGCCCACTGGGGACGGGAAAGATGGCCAGCGGGATAAGGCGGGAAGCGTAAAGTGCGCGGGCGAGTGCTGGGGGGCACACACCGGGAGGGGGGCCTCGAGTGAAGACCGGGGTGGAGGAAGCTGCAGACCTCCCGGAAAGGGCGTTCTGGCGGGGCTCTGGGGCGCCGGAGAAGGGATGGGGCCCTCCGCGGGCTCCAGAAGGACTTTGCCTCCTGAAACCAGGTGAAGCGGAGTGGAGGGGGGATGTTGAGCCGGCGCCGCGCGGTGGAACTTAGCGGCTCACCCCAGCGGCGCTGGAACGGGGAGCTGAGGGGGGGCCCTGGGCTTCCTACGTGCCGCCGGCAGCATTGTTCACCGGGGGCTTGGTAGGGACGAGGAGCCTCGGTAGGGAGCTTTGCCAACTGGCTAAACTCCTCAGTCTGCCCGGGGTTGCGTTCCCCCACGGAGTCTGGGTGGGGAGGAGCGAGCAATCTGCATTTCTGAGCTGTTTCCCCTTCCTTCGGTAGTTTCTTCTTAAGCTCCGCTCGAACTCTGCCCCCTCTCCTGGTTAGCTGGTGCCTTTTCCTGAGCAAGGGGGTAGGGAAGCGTTTTCTCTCCCCCAGCTCCCCATGCCCTCCCCCTCCTCTGGCCGACTTCCAGCCCCCCTCACTGAAGGAGACTTGGGACCTCCAGCAGGACCGGCTGGGGTGTGATGACCACACCCCACACCCTCACCGCCAGGTGTGCCCTGCCTGCCAAGCTTCTCCATGAATCCTTGTATTTTTTTTTTTTTAAAGCTTAGTTGGATGAAACCATAACAAATGGCCTAACTTAACCCTCGCCCAACTTGGAGACAGGTTAGATAGAAAGGTCTTCTGGGATTGGGGCTCCCAGATTCTCTTTAAGTGAAGAATTGGGGGTGTCGAATCTTTGGGGGGGGTGATTGTAAAAGATAATTCCTGGGTAGCCCTGGCCTGGTGTTCAGAGCGTGTTCCCTGAGCTACTTTTTACTTCTGCAGAGGGCGCTGCCAGACAGCTTGGGGAGCTGGTGGGGTTTGGATGTGGAGGGGTGCTCTGTGACCCAGCATCATTGCCCTCCAGCGGAAGGAATGGGGCTCTGGTGGCTCACGTGTGATGCCTCTGTGAATAAAAATAGTAAAATGTACGTAGTGCTGACTTATGGACAAGGGTCTTTAACATATGCGCAAGAACTTTAACTAAATGGAAGAGCTGCAGCCATCGCCCCATTATACAGATGGGGAAACTGAGGGACAGAAGCTGAGTGACTTGCCAGCCTACACATGGTAGCACTGGAATGTGAAACTTGCCATCTCCCTTCCTTGCCAGTTCCCCAAACCACTATCCTTCAGCCTCCCCCTTAACTTCAGTTTTGGTTTCTGTAGGATCATAAACTTGAGAATTTGGATGGTTTTCTTTTTAATGTGTGGATTCGGTGCAAGGTGCGTCTTCCTCCGCGGGGTACCGCTGTCCCCTCATAGTTGACAGTGAGCTGTGAGGTTCTAATGAGCTGAAATCTGCCGGTGGGGGCATTTCTGCAGAGCCAGTGCCCTTCCCTGCAGAGCACTTCCAAAGTGCGGTCCCAGACCAGCAGCATGGGCATCCACAGGGAACTTGCTAGGAATGAAAAATACTGGCTCCCCTCCAGGCCTCCGAACCGAGCTGAGGGTGGGACCCGAGCCACCTGTGAGTTAAGCCCTCCAGGTGACCCAGCGCACTCAGATGAGAAGCAAGGTTGGGGGTAGCCGGGGGTAGCCAGGCTCCAGCTTGAACACGATAGGAATCACCTGGGGATCTTGTTAAAGTGCAGACGGAGGGACGGAGGGACGGAGGGACGGAGGGACGGAGGGACGGAGGGACGGAGGGACGGAGGGACGGAGGGACGGAGGGACGGAGGGACGGAGGGACGCTGACCCGGGTGCTGCAGTTCCGGCTACCTCCCACATCCGGCCGGGTGGGTCAGTGTTCTGGGGCCCACTCTTTGAGAAGCAGACTTAGAGGCTCACTTGGGGTGCTCCCACAAGCCCGGTGCCTGGGAACTGCCTCTCATGGTCGGTAAGTCTGCAGCAAGGCCTGGGAAGATACTTTGGACCCACAAATCAGGTGGTGCTGATATGGCGCGGGGCGAAAGTTACTCTCAGCACAGGTGTGCACCCAGGGTCCCCAGATGGTGCCCCCTAGCCCCTGGGGTGAGAGGACCACAGTTGAAGGTCACAGGACTAAGCCCACTGTTGGGACCCAGTCGAGGAACCGGCCCTGGCACGCCTCACCTGGCCCTTTCCAACCAGCTCCGTCCTGGTAAGCACTGACCGGGTGCAGGAGGGCTCTGAGAATTGTATTTTCACTCTAATACTACAGTTCTGAGGCAGGATCCACATCTACAGATGTGTAAATTGATGCTCAGAAAGGTTAAGTAACTTGGGGGTGGTCACACAGCTAGCACGCAGCTAAGCAAACCCCCTGGAACGGAAGCCCCTGCAGAGTGCTTCACCGGGTCGCGAGGGAAGGAAGGGTCAGGAAGGTGGAATTCAGTTGAAGATTTCAGGCTTAGTCGGCAGCTTTTTCCTTGACTGCTTTTTCCTTGACTTCCGTTTAAAGGAGCTAAACCACAAGAGAGTCCTTTAAGAGGAATTAGTCTGTATTAGACACATTTTAAACCTTCGCGATGAAACTGGGCGAAGTTGTCACTGGCCGCTGATATCTGCAGAAATGGGGCTTTTGCGTGGTTGAAAGTTACTGGAAAAATAGGATGGGCGGGAAGACCCCACCTACCCATTGCTCAGCTCTGGTTACGCCAACAGCTTCCTCGACACACGCGCTCCTCTGTACCACTCTCCCCTCCCCGCCCCTGCCCTGGGTTATTTTGAAGCGAATCAGACATGCGTGCAAGTCATAACCTATCATTCCTGCACTCCAAGACTGCTTTTAACGACTCTAATTTCATTTCCACGTCTTGACTCTCGATCAGACTTTGAATTCCTCTTCCTACTTCTCACTGTCCTGAGCGTCTGCCGCGGTGTCTGTGAGTGAGGATCCACAGGCACTCCTGGGGCTACAGACCACCACACGTCTCTACTCCACTTTCTCCTTCCATCTGCGAATTATCTGTTGAGACGTCGGCATTTCATCCAGGAGAGCAGGGTGCCTGACCTGAGGCCTTGCCACGGCCCGCTCCCTCCGCCCACAGTAGCCGAGTTTGCATTTTTCTCTCCGTTGACTTCTCTCATCATTGTGGTATTTTACCAAAATGTTGGCACATGACAGGAGTGGACATTATTCTGCAAAGCAGATCTTCACCGCGTCCTTGCAGGTGCCTGGTGCCAACACTTGCCTCCTCTTTCGTGTCTCCTGCACTCCAGGAAATGGGTGGTGAGAGGCGGACTCTGGGTCTCTGGGCGGACATGGCTCTCGTGCTTTCCTTGCGAAATGGCGAAGGAAGTTTAAAAAAGCCCAACTCTGCTGTAAGACTTCACAGTGGAGTTTGAGAAACTAACACCTCGTGTCTCCCTTTCAGCTTCAGAGCTAGATAACGATGTGCCAAAGCCAGCTTGTCCCCCCACGGCCGGCAGTGACACCCAGAAAACCCCCGTCACGGCCCCTTCCTCGGAATCCAGGGAGCCAGCAGCGACCCTTGGAGAGCGGACGTTCAACTGTTGCTACCCAGGTAGAGCAGAAGCCTCGGCTGTTGCCCCAGAGCCCAGCTGGGGACGCCCTAGAACTTCAGAATCCCAGTAGCCTCCTTAAGTTTCATATATTTTTTTAAAACCTGTTTTCTTAATCTCGTAGGCTGTCACTTCAAAACTGTCCATGGCATGAAGGATCTCGACCGCCACCTCAGAATCCACACGGGTAGGTACAGAGATGTATCCCTGAGGCTGGGTGATCGCGCCACGCGAAGCTGATCTCCTAGGGTGCTGGGACCACGGCCGGCCGGGAGTGCCCACGTAGGCTGGTGGTGGAGGGCTTCCCAGAAGGACCCTGACAGGTAGCCAGGTAGCAGTGGCCAGACAAGAACAGGAAGCCTCCCAGACGGTGGGAAGGCCAAGAGAGCGGCGCAGGGGAGTGGGGTGGGTGTGTGAGGGTGTAGGGGCTTCCCCGGGGGCCTTCTGGCTGGGTCATCTGACACAGCAAACCAAGCTTCTTGACGGTCGCTTCCTGGGGCCACCTGCTGCTTAGAATATAGCATCTTCCCTGGACTCCAGCTTAGTCGTGAGTACCTCAAGCAGGGGGTGCTGGAAAGCTTCCAGAAGCACAGCCTTATGTAAGCCCAGCTAAAATTCTCAAGGGCCGTCGTGAAGTGGGTACTTCTGGACAGTTAGTATTCTCTGCCAGGAGTGGACATCTTGCCTGGAAGGGTGGCTCTCGGAAAAGCCTGACCTGGAGAAGGCTGCTGGAGCCTCAGGAACAAGGGTGGAATGCGGGTCCTAAGGAGAGAGCTGCTTGGGGCAACTTCCAAGTGTTGGCTGGTGCTACAGAGAACAGCGGCCTCCACTTGGTGGTGCGACTGCCCCCTAGTGGGTGAGGCCGGGGCTGCCACATCCTGGCCGCCCCTACAAGGAAGAGTGAGCAGATGTCCCTGGGAGCCATGGTTGACTAGAGAGAAAGGCAGGGGCCTGTCTCTGGCCTTTTCTTACCGGAGTGATGCAGAGCACTGCTTTCTGGGGCAAGCGCCGAGGTAGCACCCCTTGTGATTATTCGCGGAATAATGAGCCCCAACGAATGGTGACTTGAAATGGGACTGCTTCCGAGGTGGTGAAGTGGGCCAGGCCGGGGCGTGGCGGACCCGATTTCAGGGACTCTGGCCCTTACTTCGTTGCTTTCACGTCCCAAGGGTGTAGCTCCCATTGGCCTGGCCTGCGCTGGCTCACGCCACGTAAAAGCATAGCCTAGAGGTTCACTGGGTTCCCACCCAGGTGCCCAGAAGCCAGTCACATGCCAAGCTCAGCTCGGGACCAGAGATGTGAGTCTGGTCATGTGGGCAGCGAAGAGAAGGTTCTACTTCTGAGGGGGGATGGAGAACTGCTCCAGGAGCCGAATGGCCTCTCCAAGCCAGGCGTGAGCAGGAGGTGGGGTGACCACACGTGTGTCTTGGGCTTGAGCTGCCAAAGAGGTGGAGCAGTGGTTCTGAGACCCCTGTTTCCAGATAGTTCACACTGGCAAGTTGAGTCTTCCAGAGTTTGTAGTTATGACACTTAAAATTAGACACTTAAACGTACAGCTGCTTGCATAGTAATATTTTGATGGAATAATTTTCTAAAATAGGGCCCAGAGGCGTGATTTATGGCCTTGCCAGCGTGTCTGTCTGGCTTCGTGGTTGGTGGGCCCATCTGTCTACGCAGTTTGTGGCCATGTGTTTCGGTTGAAGTAGATGAAGTCAGTCCTGCTTTCTATGTGATGGGCAATGGGGCCTATTTTGATAGCATTGCCACAGAATGATTTTTCTTCACACTAGACCAAGAGACAGCCAGTGGTAATTTCTTTTTTTTTTTAAGATTTATTTATTTATCCATACAAAACTGGGGTACAGGCCAGAGATGCGGAGGGTGAGAGGATTCACCAGGGACAGAGCGGGGAGCAGAACAGGCAGATCGACGAAGTACACTGCTGAGGGGAGCAGCGGGCAGTCAGGAGAGATCTGCCGCGCCCTGTGGTCACCTCCGGGGCAGGCGGGGCGGGGATCGATGTCATGTGGAAGTGGCTTAAGCTTCGTAGTGCTGTGCTGTAACCCGCTGCGCCATCAGGGAGGGCCCCCAGTGGTAATTTCTTAAAGATGAGTTGCAACAACCATCACACCCACTGACTTTTCAGACGCCTAACTCAAATCATTCAGTCTGTTTGCACCTCGAGGGAAGTTGTGTGGCTCTTCCCCATCCTGGTCATCACACATCACACTGGTCATTTGCAAAACCCTGGCTTGCCAACTCGGGGGTTCCCCCTACACGTTACCCATGTCATCATGCCCCAGGAAAACACCCCCTTTCATCACGTCAATCACCTCAGAAACATCTAAACACAAGGCAGCTGCAGGCCCAGACGCTGGTACAGACTTGATTTCTCTGGAAATGGCGGGCTGACATCATTTGTAAGAAAGTGTCTGCCCGATAAGCAAATCTTCGGGGGCTGAGTGAGGGGAGCTTCTCTATTCCTCCCTGAGATCTAAATGCTTCTCACCTGCAGTGTTTCTGTGGGTGCCCCTTCCCGGCCAGCGCCGGAGCCCCTCGACGTCCTTTGCTCCCAGCATGCGGGGTGCTGGGAAGGCTCAGGCAGGGCCAGACGTGGCTCCCGCTGCTCACCAGGGTACCCTAAGTGGTACTGGCTGTTATGAGGGAGTGCACGGGGGGGGCGCTGGGGGAGCCCTGCCCAGGAGCCCACGGTCCTCCTGCCACTAAACTCACATCAGTGCAGACGTCAGGGCTGGCATGTCGTGGCCTGAGACGCCAAAAGCAGCTCACGTTTGCATCGTATCACAGAGACCTGGTAGACTCATCCAGAAGTGTCTAGAGCAGCCCTGACAGGCTTCTGAGACCTGGGTCAGGGAAGGTGGGCCAGTTGTGAGCCCCCTGGAGACGCATGGGACTAAACCTTTGTTGTTGTTGTTGTTGTTTTAGATTATTTATGCATACAGAGCTGGGGTACAGGCCAGAGCTGCAGGGGTAGTGAGTAGATTCACCAGAGACAGTGGGGAGCAGAACAGGCCGACTGACGAAGAAACTGCTGAGGGGAGCAGAGGGCGGGTCAGGAGAGGTCTGCCACGCCCTGTGGGTCACCTCTGGGGCCGGGATTGAACTTGTGCTGAAGTGGCTTTAGCTTCTCAGTGCTGCGCTCTACCCCACTGTGCCACCAGGGAGGGCCCACCTTTGCTTGTTTTTAATACTGTCTGTGTCCTGAATGAGGGGAAGAAAAGGCTAAGTTTCAAATAACCAGAAATAAGTGGGACATGGGTGAAAGAGTAGAATAGAACAGCTTTATTCCTGTATTTCCTATGTAAAATCTTCAGCCAAAAAAATCACCGTGCATTCTGGATAGAGGGTTTAAAAACATCAGCTGCATTGGTGTTTCCAATGACGGACGACCTGCCCAGCACCCCTGCCTCCACTACTGTCCCCAGGGCCTTTGGATAATAAAGTTCGTTCAGGAGAGGCATAAAAATAATCCCAGCTCTTGGCTTTATCAGAAGCTGAAATACTCTAGAGCTGTCTGTCAGACATTCTGATCGCAGAACTGGAAGAGCTGGATGGAGCAGGGTTGAGCATACACATTCAGTGCCCAGGGGGGTGGTTTTCAAGCCATAGGGAGGCGGGCCAGGTGGCACATGTGATGTGACCTATTAGGGCAAAGGCCCTTGAGCCTTTCCACAAATTCTAATATATTAAATTCCGTATTAAAGTACCTCTATGAGGGGGGTCCCTGGTGGCCATGGGATTGTCTCAGCTCTGTCACTGTCAGGGCCTGGGTTCGACTCCCCAGGCAGGGAGTGACCCACAGGGTGCAGCAGACCTCTCCTGTCTCCCTGCTGCTCCCCTCAGCAGTGGATTTCAGTAGATCTACCTGGTCTGATGGCTGCTTAGTCTCTGGTGAATCCTCTCACCCCCCCAGACCACACATACACCTCTGCCCTACACCACAGTTCTTCTGTGCAAAATAAATTTTTTTAAAGATTTATTTATGCACACAGAATGGGGTACAGGCCAGAGGTGCAGGGTTGGTGAGAAGATTCACAGAGTCAGAGTAGGGAGCAGAACAGGCAGATGGGCAAAGTACACTGCTGAGGGGAGCAGCGGGCGGGTCAGGAGAGTCTGCTGCGCTATGTGGTCAGCTCCAGGTCTGGGGATCAAACTCACCAAAGTGGCTGCAGCCAGCTTGCAGTACTGCATCCTAACCCATTGTGCTGCCAGGGAGGGCTCCAAAATTTTTTTTAAAATGTCACCACTAGCAAATGTAGACAGCTAAATACATGGTAGAGAAGGGAGAAAACAATTGGCATCAGGTCACAAAAGCAAAGAGAGATTAAATACAAGTAAATTAAAGTTTGAGCGTATCACAAATGTCCGACAAGAAGGAAATTGCCACACAGGGCAGAAATTCCAGATCCTGCAAATCAAGATAATTAAGATCCTTTTCCCCGAGGAAGGATCAGCGTTGGCAGCCACCTCAGGAATAAGATGCTGGAACTTTCACGGGCCCACAGCAGCACAATGCGGTGCTGTGTGCCCCTAGTCCGGCCAGTTGCAAGGTGCCGTAGTAGGATGAGTCGCGAAGCCCTCGAGGCAGCTGAATGTGGCCTGCACCCCTGGCTTCCTTCCCACCTCCATTTCAGTGAGACAGAGGTGCTCGTCTTGAGAAGACTGGGTGGAGGTGCAAGGGGGGGCAGGAACTCACTTAGCCTGAGGGTTCAAGTCGATGCTTTGGGATTGTCTCTGTAGCTCATGCAAATGTGTTTTCCTGTCTCACTGTCTACTGATCTTGGCCTTGGGTTCAGAGAGGAAGCCGAGCACTGAAGGAAAACCGGTCCTTCCTGACGCCAAGAGAATGTTTCATTTCCCTGTAGTCATGTGTGGGTCAAGTCTCCAGAGATCCACAAGGTTTCTTCTGGCTTTATACAGTTGGTTTGGGGAGTTACTGGTTTTGTGTTTTGTTTGGTTTTGAACTTTTCTCCTCCATCAAGAATGACGGCTGAATTTCAAAAGCCTTCTCAAGGTAACCGGTGTCATCTAGCTTTCTCAAAGAGATTGACTTACGGGCTTGCGGGTTTTCGCTTGGTGTGATCAGGATTAATCAGTCATGGAGTTAGTCAAGACATTTCTTTCCCTTTGCTAAGAAGCAGCTCGTTGAAATTTGGGTTAAACGGCCCGCGGCACTTTTCAGAGAAAGGGGAGGGGTTGCAGGTGGTACTGTGTGTCCACCTAGGTGGTTCCTGAGGGTTGCTCTGTGCACCCCAGTGTCCCCCAGGGTCAGTCCCAGCCCTGCACGCTATGGTCACCTCTCCTGGCCCAGCTGGCAGGGTGGACTCTCTGGGACACTCCCAATGAAGCCACCCTGGCCTTTCTTCTGCTGAGGACTCCTGGCAATTTTGTGAAGCTCATGTCCCAGAATGCTTTCAAATCTAATGAAAGCATGATTTTAGGAAGTATTTCAGGACAATTGTTATCAAAATATTGAGAATATGGCTTTTTTTTAAAAGATTTATTTATACAAGAACTGGGGTACAGGCCAGAGGTACGGGGGTGAGAGGATTCATTAGAGACAGAGTGGGGAGCAGAACAGGTGGATCGACTGAAACACACTGCTGAGGGGAGCAGCGGGGACACAGGAGACATCTGCTGTGCCGTGTGGGTCACTCCCTGGCTGGGGATCGAACTCAGGCCATAAAAGTGACCGCACTGAGACTTAACCCCTTGGCCTCCAGGAGGCCCATAAATGTAGGTTGTTGACTGCATCTGTGGCTGGAGGAAATCAAAAGATAATTGCAGTAAATATTTGGACGTCCCCCCAAGTTTTCTGGCAAGCCCCCAGCACAGCCTCCGGAGTGCTCTGGGTGATGCTGAGCCCACACGCGCTCTGCGGCGGGCTGGTGGTGATGCAGGTCTGAGCGTGTTTCACGGGCTAAGCCAGGTGCGTGTCCAGACCTGAAGTGAGGGACCAGAGTGTCTTGGTCGTGGGAAAGAGGAGGACAAGTACCCAAATAGTGATGTGATTTGCTGTCTCCTTTCTCTGTGGCTTGTGTTCGTTAGTTTCTGTAGATCTTTCCCCTTGCTTTTCCTCAGGTTGCATGTGGCCTTCACCCTGTCATTTAAGGTGAGCTGAAATCTACCAACACTCCCCTAAACACGTGGACGAGCTCTAGGTGTGGCCACGGAGGCCTCACTGTCCACCTCTGGGGTGTTCTTAATCGGATTTTGA